TCCATAACATTTTATTTGTTTATTTTTGTTTTTGAGTGCACACAAACGGAGAGCTAGCAAATCGTGAAGAAATATTTGATGAATTTAATCCTGGATTAACACGTTACTCAGTCACTAGTAATTAGTAGTGTAAGGGATTACTATTTCCAAAACAGTAATAATATTGCAGTTACTAATCCAAGTGACGCTGTGTTCCTGCGTTACCAGAACTTCACTTGTTTTGTTGCCTTTGACGAGAATATACGACTGTGTAGCAGGTCAGCTGTATGTTATAGACGGCTGCTAGCCAAAAAGCTAAAGGAGGAGTTAAAAATGAGGGACAAAGGTGTTCTTTTTTTTTTGAGTTTTGAGGACAACTCAAAAAGTTTCGAAAAATCCCATCAATAGTTGTGCCAAGTAATTATATTTTGTTCAGATAACTTATCATCTTTCATTTGTATATAAACTTACAATTTTGAGTTCTATGTACTATATATTCCCTAATTATTGTTGTAAAGATAACAAAGTCACTTCAATTTCCATGTTTAGTTTCAACAAACATTAAAGAAACACATGACTGTATCATTCATGTTGGAATTATGCAATTCCAGTGTAAGCTTTTAAAACAGTCATTTAAAATAGTGTACATGTACAGAATCTCACAAAAGTAAGTACACCCCTCACATTTTTTAAAATATTTGATTTTTTCTGTTCATGTGACAACACTGAAGAAATGACACTTTGCAACAATGTAATGTAGTGAGTGTATCTTCTTGTAGCCTATAGGCCATCTTTATGTAGAGCAGCAATTCTTTTAGATCCTCAGAGAGTTCTTTGCCATGACGTGCCATGTTGAACTTGTGACCAGTATGAGGGAGTGTGAGAGCGATAACACCGAATTTAACACACCTGCTCCCTAATCACACCTGACACCTTGTAACACTAAGGAGTCACATAACACTGGGCAGGAAAATGGCTAATCGGTCCCTATTTTGGACATTTTCACTTAGGGGTGTACTCAATTTTGTTGCCAGCGGTTTAGACATTAATGGCTGTGTGATGTGTTATTTTGAGGGGACAACAAATTTACACTGTTATACAAGGCTGGTTAACAAAATAAGTCTCAGTGGCACAGGATTAATTTTCAACAATTTCAGGGCAATGCACAGTCTTTAGATTTTTTAAATGATGTCCCAGATGAGTGAAAAAACTGTGCTCAGTCCAAGTTTCTCCAAATTCACATTACTCACAGAAAAAGGTTGATATCTACTTACAGTCCTGCAATGTGATCTGGTATGGTGTGATTTTAATGCGACACAGGGCCAGTGAGCTCCTCTTCCGTGTTGCAGTCTACAGCTCAATAGATCTTGTTGACTTGAGCTGAGAAAACCGCAGAACCCACACATAGGATAACTGAGAAAGGACAATGAGAAATAAAAGGCAAATTAGTTAATTTACTTTTAATGGATTTATATAACAAAATATTCTTGCACACTTTAACAATGTACTGTGCACAACCACAATGCCTTCTATTCAGTGTGTGTATATACTGTATTTCCTTGAATTGTGAACTCTTGAAACTCTGCAGCAAAATTTTAAACTCTGCAGCAAAACACACACACACTTACCTTCTCTATTGTGTAGCACGTTTACATGCACTATATTTACCATCTCTCTCTCACACACTGGCTACTGGCTTGCGGACTGCAAGGAGATATTCCCTGAAGTCAACAAGAAGTTGTTTATTTTCCAGTTACAATTGTTGAAACACTTTTTGTGTACATCAACTTGCAGTCTGCTTGCTGTCTGTTCTGTGTGTGTCCCCCCAAAAAATTCACAGCCTTGCCTCTGAAAACTGGAAATAAAGACACTAGAGATGGTTGTGGTTGGTGGAAACTTAGTACACCTTTCCCAGTGAGACTGACCACGGAGCAGCACACACTCCTGCACATGCTTCATAGTTAATTTTTTGAAGAGGGGGAAAAAAATATGTTCACGTAAGGGTGGACCACACACCCAACCCTCTTATTGAAAGGCATGTGCAATACTGACTGAGCTAACTGGACACAAATTTTTATGTGGACCCTTGACCAACAGAATTGATAACACATAATTAATGACACTGAAACAACATGACAATTGTGACTGTGGAGAACTTAACTCTTAACTCTTACGACTTTGTTTCAACACAATCGTTTCTAACATAGAGTATATCAAACCTGCGTGATGACAATAACTCCGTTTCAATTAACTACCACATTAGAGCATATGCCCTGTCCCCTCGAGTGTACACCGCTCTTGCTGCTGCAGAGCTGAGGAGCACAAGTCCCGCCTGCGCAAGCAGCTCCACTGTGCCCCCACGAGCCTTCCTCGCCGTCGCTGCTGCAGAGCTCTGCTCAGTGCTGTTCTGTAGTATGGGCTATTTATTAATTCTGAACATGTTGCATGTTCAAATTGCACCAAACGCCACACTGCACTCCCTTAGGTCTACAGCAACCAAGCGGAAACCTCCAGGTCTGAAAATTGAGACGAATGTGGAAGTCCCTTAAACCTTCACTCTATCTAACAGCGAGCAGGGGGGGACCCCTCTGGTTGCAAAAAGACTCGTATCCCCATTACTGTGTAAATTTAATTAGCGCTGTTGAACAAGCCTATTAGGAGTCGGCCAAAATAAGCATCTGGTTAAAATCACAGTTAAAGTGAATCACAGCTGCAGCTAGCTAACCAAGCTTGCTATCGCCACCATCTCATCCAATAATGGCGCAATCACATCAAGATGGTGTATTCAGTGACGCAGTAATGCAGCCTTACTTTGATTAGTAACTGTAATAATATTAATTATTTAGAAAAAATAATCTGTTACACTACTAGTCACTTAATATTATTACAGTAACGCGCTATTGCCCAACACTGCCAATGGGTGACATGACGATGACGACATCGACTTTTATACAGTGTATCGTAGCACACACCCTCCACGTTTGAGGTCGATTGGATGAGCGTTTACAAACATAATCGAAATACAAACTCACACACACACAGTGTGTGTGAGTGTCTCTTTATTAGAGAGATTTCAGGCAGTGGCGTTAAGGAATGTTGGCTGTTTTGCTGCTCTTATGAATATGCTATTAGTTAAAAAGAGTATGAATATGTGCAGGATATTAGTAATTACAGTTAAATTATAAACACTAATTATAACAAAAACATTTAAATTAAATCTATATTTTTGTTTTTGCATTATCACCTTATATGTTATATTTTAACATTTTTTTGTTATAATTTTTGTTATAATCACTGTTTATAATTTCATAAACTGTAATTACTAATATCCTGCACATACTTGTACTCATTTTGACAGTGTGGCTAGCACTGTGCTGCTATTTTTACTCAGCCACTCTGTGAGTAAAGTGCTCCTCTCCTGGGATCTAAACAGGATTGCACGCACAACCACCTGAAGTCACGAAAGCTATGGTCTTCCTTTTTGCTTTTTAGCTTCTTTTTTTTTTTGATTTGATTAAATGTGTGACATTTGGGATAGAGACTGATACTGTGACATAGATATGTCCTAAATTGCAACTGTGACTGTGCCTGTGAGGAGATAAATAGAATGTATAAGCATTAAATATAGACAAGACAGAGGATGAGGGGGAGAAAGCACTGCGTCATGCTCTCCCAGAGCATTTCCCCAGTTCAGTGGAGTGAGAAACAAAAAGCTCTGTCTCCACAAGCAAACTGCAGGCTTACATAACCTGTCTTAGAGTAATATTTTGAAAGAGTCGACTGTGTGTTTATGTGTGATTGCTTGCACGTATGTGAATCTGGCACATACCTTTTGGTTCTATTTCAGCAATGAAAGCCTCTCAGTTCTGGTGGGTGGCTGATCACCATAGTGACAAAAATGTGCACTGAGGATTAAAGATGTACTTTTCCGCTAGCTGTACAGTTAATAATGATGATGATGATCAATATTATTGATGTAGTCAGCCATTCTTCCGGGATATCCTCTGCTCCACAATGTATTTTTAGATAGGGGTTTCTTTTTTCGATCCATCTTTTTGCATATTTTTACAATATATCCGCAGATAGATGCACAGCAGCTCACTTGGTACTGATGCATACAGAGAAAGTGTATACATAAATACTGTAAACATCCCCAGGATCACCTCCTTTTTTCAGCCAAAAAGCAGACACTTAATGGATATGCATTGATGTACAATGATAATATTTATGAACCTTGTTATTTTAACTAAGGATTTCTATATGTTGACACAAGAAGAATACTAGCTAACTTATTGTGATCTCAACAGTTTCTGCAAGGAAGGGTTCCTAATCATTTGTGATACGTCAGTCGGCACATTCAGCAAAAATTAAACTAATATGATATAACATAGTGATAGTAAATGTGATTTCAAATTAACTTTCAATTGTGAAACGTTAAAAATACTACATAGAAGAAGTGTGAGGTGCACTGTTCTCCTCTTAAGTGACTTTTAGGTTTAACATTTTTCAAAAAGTTCAGTAAAGCCTTAAATGTCTAATTCATAAGGCAAACATAAATATGTACTGATTTAATACAGGAGACTGTACTACTAATGTTTCACTTTAAGCTGTAATATGACCTCTTGCAAAAATAAATTTTACAGCATTGACGGTGTGTCCAGTACATCATAAGATGTGCTCAAGAACATTGTGATGACATTCTGTGAATTATTGTCATGCAATTTTATGTAATGCATTTGTAATCAAAATGGGGAGAATATGTTGCAATAGTAAATAAAAACTTGACTAAATGTATGTGCTGGGATCTGGGCTCTAGCCTTAACCCATGAACCACCTACCTTAAACTCCCCTTGCTATTTACTCGATTATGGATCTTGTAACTGTGCAGGCTCTAATGAAAAATGTAGAAGAAAGCCAGACTGAAAGTGAGGAAGCACAAATGCAAGACAGGAGGAGGGAGTATAGAGGAGGGAGGGCAGGCACAGGGGTGGCTACAGGCGCTCTCTGCAGTACAGATCTGCTGAGAGCGCCAGAGTAGAGCTCCTCCACAGACCACAGCCGCAGGGCTCCCACTGCAGTTCAGAGGAAAACCTCACACAGAAATATATACTGGAGGAGAAACTGCTACCTCACAACGCAGAGGACAAGACGAAGAGGAGGAGAAAGAAAAGAGATCAGAAAAATACAGAGAGGAGGTAAAAAGAAGTCGACGAGGTTCTCTGCTTTTTCTTGGATGAAAAGAACTTCCAGGGCACACGGCTCTCTACTTTCGGATTCCATTTAATAATTTACCTTCTGCCTCATTTTGGTCTGTGGAACACAACTTTGCTTTTGTAAAAGTTTGACCTACATGTCTGGATTTTTTTATTTCCAACATTTCTGTCCATCTGGCCATTTCGGTAATTCTAGTATTGTTTCAATACCTGCTGCTGGACTTTACCACAGTGTGTGTATGTGTTTGTTCCTTTGAGAGTGTGAGAATCTGTTTCTAACTGAGTGAGTGAAATGTACCAGAGTGAATAGTGGCCGTGTTAACGTATTTTGTTTTTAAGCTAAATTATATTTCTATCCCGGTGTTTACTTTTTTCTCCACAAGGATCCCCTTAAAAGATCTGAAGATGTCACATCACAAAAACTATTGAGGCAGTTCCTTCTTTTTAAAAGTGATCACTCTGCACACTATAGCAGCATTTCCTGAAAAGACATTGTGGAGACACTTGCAAGCTTTTTTTTTTTTAGATAAATTTTTCTTTTGTGAAGCCTTGGCCCTATCGGTCCTTGCCACTACCTCAGGATGGCTGGCTGTACCAGTCGCTGCAGGCAGGGGGTGCTCAAATTAATCCAGTCCCTGCAGAGATTGGTCTCAGGAACGCTCACAAAAGGTACTGTGGCTTTTTACTCTAATGCAGAGACACTGTAAACCGTTGTTAACTTAACCGTTGTTAACTTAAATGTACATTTACACAGTACTTAGTACTTAACTTAACTCTACTTTACTCAGTACTTACTTTTCACTTGATTAAATACTATGTGGTTTTGTGTAAGGGCTATGAGAGGGATATTAGAGTGTCTTAAAACCCAAAAAGGGATAGTGTTATCCAGTGGTGTTTTCAGAAAATTGTGTGAAAAGTGAAAAAATTTAATTTTGTGGATGTCCCACAACTTCAATTCTTTAAAACATCCTTACTTTAAGACTCATACCTTTTATATTTAGCTTTCTTTTCCAAATGTATTCCATTAAGTTATTATTTGTAGATATATTGTGGTCCAGGTCAAGATTCAATTCTCACAAAAGCCAAAGTGTAGACAATTATGCTATGCAGCACACAGAGCCCTTACTGCAGTGATACTCCACTTTTAGCGATAGGGTGCCGGGTGGCTCGCCGGACATTTTCTAATTCACAATGAAAATAAATTGATTCACCCTAGGACTTTTTTGTTTGTTTGTTTGTTTAAACCAATTATTAATTGTTCAGTGAAACGCTTGCAGAATAGTTTATGCACGAAAACTACTTTTGTTTTTGAGAAAAAGATCATGGTTTGGGTTAAAATAACTCTTGTGAAAGTCCTGTGTTAGACCCATCAATCCTTTCGCCCCAACCTCCTCCTTCTGCAGACATTGTTGGCCTCCTGTCATTTTGCAAAAAGTGGCCCCCGGACAAAGCAAGTATCCCTGCCTTACTGTGACATGCTTTGCTGTGGAAATAATCTGAACTTCTAACGTCTCCAAGAACAAACATTTGTTCTGGTTTGGACACTGTGATAGTCTGATATTCTGTAACTGGTGCTGTGCTGGTGGAAGCTATATTGAGCCATCAGGTCAGATGAGCCAGATAAGGAAAGAGGATTTGTGCCTCTATAATATATACAGGCCAGGGTTACCCACCCTAGGGGCCTGTATTGTGACCCCTCACATAAGAGGTGACATGTTATTTCGGGGTTAACGGTTTGATCCCCATCTCCTCCTGTCCACATGTCGAAGTGTCCTTTTGCAAGAAAATGAACCTGTTGCTTCCCAGCCTCCATTGACACACAAGCCAGTGCATACCTAATTGCTGGTCCCAAGCCTGGATAAATGGGAAGAGTTGAGTCAGGAAGAGCATCTGGCATAAAAAGCCTATGCCAAATTTAAGTCTCAGCTCTCCATGCCAGGTTAGGTGAGGCCCGCTTTGTCAGCAAGATAGAAACAGATGTTCCGCAGTGGCGACTGAAGCAGCGGAAGAAGATGTTCTTGTAAAATGTTGGGTATTTTCATCTCACTGGGGCTTCTAAAACAATTGAAATTAAATAATCTAAGAAGGAAAATTTACTCTTTGGTTGAACTGCTTGCAATTCCACAATTCAAGGTCCTGTAATGATTATTATTATTATGAGTTGTAAGTGGACTTTGCTCCATTTTAAGGGGTCACAAGCCAAAAACCTCTGATTTAGGAGACCATCTATGAACATGATTTTGTATCACTGCTACAAAAATAGTTATAATTTAACTCATAGATAAAATGTTCAGAGGTTGATCAATATTGCAATACTAAGTTGTCCTTTTTCGAAATGAGTGGCTATTTATGTTTTTATTTTGACATAATTATTATCACCTACATTTTTTTTACCACCAGTACACCTTCTAACACTTTTAGCTTCCACAAAAGCACATTTTATTCACCATCACACCAAGGGTGCATAACACCAAAGGTGTGATAGACAGGAAAATTGTGGTAAGTTGCTAATAATGCACATTTGTTTGCGGTAAACTGCCATGAAATGTTTTTAAAAACCATGTGTTTTTTTGGTTTGTCTATGGGGTACCTTTAACTTGATGGATTAAGCTTCAGTCGGACTTCCTGTGTGATCTGTGTAAAGGCTCATCAATGATGTCATGTATGCGTCAGCCGTACACACCGCCTACGCAACAGCTGCAGTGCCCTTTCAACCTCGTGTTGTGTTCTTCATCTTCGTTCTCTTGGTTGTCTTTCTCCTCATGATCTCCATCAACCTTTAGTTGAAAGTTACTTTTCAGCTTCATAGCAAAAAAACAAATGCTGAGTCACCACATCAGAGTGCACCTGCAAGTCAAGTCACAACTGATAAAGCACACTCTGCTCTCACTTCCGGAAAAACCTCTGGTCTGACATATATTTAAAATTAAACCTACACACAAGTATGGCATATGAAATATTTGTGAAGGTGCAGGCAATGAATTTCAGGTCTATTTTTTTCCAAATACACATGTAGTCACCAGCTGCTCATGTTCCAACCAGAAACATTTGGATACTCTTACTATCTAGCTTTAAATAATTTACAACTTACTGCCAGGAATTCATTTCTTACAGGGCAATGAAGCGAACTTGGCACATCAAGCTTTATATGTTTTTGGAACATTATACTAAACCTAAGAATTTAAAGATGCACCGATCGGTCAGCCGGTGACCAGAATCACCCAGTTTTCAGCTTGATCGGCCATGACTGGTCGCTGGGACCGATCAGTCTCACCTATCTGATTTTTACACACATGCTGCACTGCACAATAATTCCCATCATGCACACAGCAGCACAGACAGTAACACACCGCCACACAAACATACAAACTCTAAAACATGCCATCACCAATGAAGAAGAATACCTGTATGGCCAAAATAAGCCGTGTTTCCCCACACAGGCTTTACTTACGCAGACCACTCAGGTACATTTTAACACTTTGCAGAGAATTACAGCGAGAGATGTTATCTGGTATTGTGTTAGAAGACGTGGACGTGGTGGATATTTTACAAGCAAGGATGAGGTAAAGCAACAGTGAACACACCTGGTGGTGCCAATGGCATTCAGTACCACGTTGGTCTTAGGCTACGTCATTAATAAGAAGTCATGCATTCCCCAAAACTTCCTTCCCCTCTCTCCCCGCCTCTTTTTTTTTTAACCAATTACTTTCATCTTACCCACTGTAAACCATCTTAGAAAAGCGCTATATAAATGTAATTTATTGTTATTACTATGATTATTACTATAAGTATTTTCTGCACGCTGCTCACCTGCTGTCCTGAAAACAGAATTGCAGGTGCAAAAGTACAAAAGTACAAAATGGGAGTTGTGTGTTTTAGGTGACTTTATAAAATATAAAGAGAGACAGGTGTAGGTGTGTGTTTCTGAAGGGAAAAGCAAGGTGAGCAGATTAAAGTTGTTAATAAATAAATTGATAAATTGATAAGATAAATTGGAGAAGTAAGTAGAATTAAAATCGAGAGAAGAAATAACCTTCTAGAAAAAGGATAATGTATTCTTTCAAATGTTAAATATAAATATATACTCCCTGTCATTCTGTTCTGCAATTAAATTTCAATTGGATTTTATTTGTACAGAAAAGGTCTGTCCAGTTGCCTAACCTGGAGCACTTTGAGATGTGTTTGAGTGAGAATGAGAGACAAGGTCCTATAACCTGGTGCAATTTTGGAGAAAATGCAAAAGTAATTTAATAGTCAATGTTTTTATTATGAACATACAACTGAATGGACCCCAGGACGAATAGCAAAAGCTTATGCTAGTGCTAAAGAAACAAAAATCCATTAAAGAAAAGTTACAAAAATGTTTGTGTATGCTGTAGTTTAGTTATAGATATAAATATACAGAGAGACATATAGAGTTATTAGAAATGAAGGAAATCGGCATCAACAAAATCAGAATCGGCAGGTCAGACTTTAAAAAAAATCGGGAATCAGAGTCAGCCAAGAAAGTTGCAGTTGCTGCATCTCTGTAAGTATTAATTATTGGATTTTCGTTTTTTGCTTTTCAAGGGTTGTAAGAAAACAGCTTAATAACTGGTAGATTGGATAATATTTGATTTGATCTTAACCCAACAGGTATTTTCTGCAGTTTGTCCGAAGTGTTAATATGCATTTGACAGTAGCAACGATATCATTTAAAATAGAAATCCATTTAATTTTCATCTGTACTGTGTTACCTTCGTACTCATCAAGTGACCAAACTCTTACAGACCTGCTGAGACTTAAACGTGTTCTAAACTGGTGTCTTTGTCAGCTACTGTGCTATTCTTGAAATAATACAGCCTACTTATGGCTGCAGGGGTTGACAATCTAGGTCATGCAATGTAGCCACATATCTGTGGTGAGACTTTGGACTATCCATCCTTTTATATAACAAAGAAATAGGTGAACAACTCGAAACCTATTTTTGTAGCAAAGGACTAAAAACGTTCAGACATTGTCCTGTGTGTGGAGGCAGCAGTTATCCTCTACACATATATATGTACCTGTATATTTTTCAGATTCAGTGATCCGTGCACCAGAGCATGAATTAAGTAATCTAGCCGCACATATTGTTAATCAAGAGCACAAATTAAGTGATCTGTGCACTGTGTTTTCACCAGATGTCAATCTGATTCTCATTTGGCCTTCAGCACATGATTGTTTTTGTTTTTCATCCTTACATGGAGTTTGTGTTAGCGTCTGTGTTGTGCTGGGAGTGGGTCATTAGTGGGTGTTAGCAGACTCCTTTTTGTTAGCTGTGGTATTGGCGCTGTGAGTACAGTTCAGAATCAGTAGGCAAGAGGCTTGGGAGCGCACATGCAGAAAATCCGACCTGATTTCTTTACATATCAAAATGTGTAGTAGCTATGTTGGTCCACAGCACAAAACATATAACATTCCTAATAAACGTGAGGCGTTAGGCCTTTTCTTCTATCCTTTCATTCTCAGTGCAACATTTCAATGTAGTTTTGGCCGAATTGATTTCAAACTTTGTGTTTTATTTTCATAACATTTGTTCAGTGAATTTAACAATATATGAACTTTAGTTTGTTAGATATTGCAAAGAGTTCAGTAAGTTAGCTAAACTCTCATAAACCCTAATTAAATTAACTTTGACCCTGTAAAGT